TATTAACTAATAATATGAATATTAAGGAAATTATTGTTTATCTCGATGCAAATTTGTAATATCGAATACTTATTCCTACTGGATGATGAACGAAAGTCTTGAACATTTTCTGTTTTTTTTTTGTATTTACTCCATATGAGATTAATTTAATGTTGAGTTTTATATTTATAGCACAATGATTTATACATCAAAACTTGTAATCTGTTTAGTTAGCTTTGTACTATTGCGTTTGGCCAAAAATTTGTTGACAAGATTAATTTACGAAGTTATAAATTCGTCTTTTCACTTTTACAAGCTTCAACGAACAAGTTTATATGAATATATGACATGGTGAGAAAATCACTTTGTACACTACGATTTTTCCATAATAACAGAAGTTACTTGTAATTGTAGCAAATTTAGATGAGACAATGTATTGCTACGAATTTAGAGTAGTTTAATTGGAATTATAACATATTAAAATTACTCTAAATTATTAAAAATTTAAGTTTAGTATTAGGAAAAAATGAATTCATTTGTTTTTTCTAATCAATCAAATGGTATTTTTTAGGTGGCGTGCCAGGCTTGCAAAATATTATGAAACAGCTTCAACAAGGTGGAGCAGGAGGACTTGGTAACTTAATGGGTGGTTTTGGTGGGAAGTCGTGAAAAAAGAATACATAGGGCAGATCCATTTTCAGTTTCTGATGTATATCTCCATTAAACAACATCGGTCCGAAATAGAGGAGGGCAAGAGATTCGAAGCATTGACTTGACCGAGAATGATCTCTTGAAAGAAATGATACAAATCTAGAGAGAATTTTATGTTTAGGGATTTTTCTCATCGCGAAACAAAAAGAAATAATAAAAAAGAATTTTCTGTATTATATACATGTCTTTCGCAGTTTTTCGACATTACCTTTGTAAACTCGTCTCCTTTTTTTTACTCTGCATCTTTTTTGTATATAAGCCGCTTTCACAGTATTTTATCTGCTACTATCTTTCTACTATTAGTTGTCAGTGAGCTGGAAGTGTGTATGTACCAATAAATGGAGCTTATTTTTATTTTTCATTGTTTACCCTCGCTGTACCAATCTATCATACTATTAGATTTTTATCTGAAAATGTTTGTAAACCGTGTTACACGTTCTGTTTCGTTACGTTAGTATTGTGATAGTTATTCATATCTTTGATAAAATTCAGCGTGAAATAATAAATGTTAGATATTGCCCTCAATGATTGATGTTAATGGTAGCTTCGATCGAAGCGCTTATCTTAAATAAATTAGCTTCTGAAGATCACAGAAGCCTCACAACGACCTCCAAGAAACATCAAGGCCTTTCAGGGTCTGTTAATGACCACTATGGCCTTCTCAGTGGCTCTCGGAGTTCTACGCCTTCTAAAAAGACCATCAGGAGGCAAAGATCAATAATAACTGTGGGATTCTAGAATTGCGCCCAGAGATGACTAACAATGATCAACAGGAAACCCAGAACTCATGTGTTGCGCACAGAATGATAAATTCGGCACATTTACTCAAACTATACAATTTTGCAGAATTACTACTGGACTACTGTATAAATGAATGAAATCGTATTTCATTACATCGTAATTCGTAATTCAAATCTCTCATATAATTTAATTACAATTCTATTCATAATTGTATGTGAAATACAATTAAAGAATGTAAATGTAATCGTGTCAGAATTACGAATTAGAAGATACGAAATTATTATTAATGATAAATATAGTATTATTCCCATATTTCATAATTCAGTTAAACTCGCGATTATTATAAATAGGAATTGAGAATGACTGGAAAATTGGAATTATGTAATTCAATTGTAACTGAATCGCTATGTAACTGAGTCATA